GGGGCCGAGGCCACCATGATTCCGCAAGAATACGCCATAAGCTCATTCAGATCAGATTCAACATGTAGCATGCGGCACAGTGCAGGTGTACTTCATCGAATTTAGATTCTGTTACAATGACATATCTGGCAGAACTTGCAGGTACTTCAGTGGCCAGTTAGGACAGCTCATTTTGAAAAGACTCATAGACCAGTAGATCAAGTCAGTTCTGGCGCCCACATGGTGAAGAGGTCATTTGAGTCAGGATGTGTTTCAAGAACCTCATGAGTGTCATGTTTGAACTATAGGGACGTTGGACCCGATTTCCAACAGGTGACGCTCCCCACCAATAGAATGGAGACATCGAACTGTGCAGGCCCCAATCAGGTGGGTTACCATAGCCTGCCTGATAGTCGCCTGTCCCTGATGATTGAAGGGAAAAAAAAAAACAAAAAAAAAAACCAACCGAGGGCCACAAAAAAAAAAAAAAAAAAAAAAAAGCAACCGAGGGCCCAGGGGCCAAGTCCCACTAGCAGCGTTGAGCTACCTCAACGCCTGAATCTGGACGCTTTGGCGGGGATGTCCAGAAATGGTGTTGAGTTTCCTGAACTGCACGTCTCCACAATAGACGTCCAGATTCAGGCGTTGAGGTAGATCAACGCTGCTAGTGGGACTTGGCCCCAGGTTGGTAGAAAGGCATAACTGCAGTTTCTCTGAAGAAACATATAAATGGCTTGTTTGGAAGTACCAATTGAAACCCATGACTGTTACCCTGTATGACCTTCCATTCTCCATTCTTTGCCTGGGACTAGACCAGTACACGGCCTCAGCCTTGCAGCAAAATAACTTGTCGCCACAAGAAGCAAAAGGCGGGCTCGGCACATTCAACAGTTTCACGTATTTGCTAATCTCCCACACGGCGGTACTTTCACGGATTACGCTGGCCCAGACTGCAGCTATGATCAGATTCACTTTTTTCCTTGAGCCAGGACGTTCCAAATTTCACGTCTGTGCTTATTTTCTGGCCAGGTTCAGACGAGAGAGGAGACAATTTGCATCCGCCCCGTTTTCTCTTGTTTCCTTTTCTCTCTCCTTTTCGAAGGGTGGGCTTGGCGCGAAATCGACTATCAAATTGCTTCTTCGTGTGAGCGGGTGCTCGGTGCCCACTCCGGGCCACGGCACGACAGACCGACAAGCAGCCATGCCGAGAGAGAGGAGAGAAAGGGGAAAGAAAGGGTGGAACTTTCCGAGGTATCTATCGATTCTCTCCTCTTCGGCACACCTCCACACCCGCACGCACGCACGCTCACGCGCACACCCGTACGTGCGAGTTCACCACACACGCACGATGCCTCACTTTGTCATTCAGTGCCAGAAGTCAGGAACCCTACCGTAGATCACTGAACGACGGAGCTGAGAAGAAATTGATTTATAGAGGTCGGTGTTCCGTAACAAGGATTTCCGCAGTGCCTGGTACTGCGTGTAAATGCCTCTGGCTCCGTCGCCGGCTAAGATAAGGGTTTGGCTTCTTGACACCGTATTCTTTTCCTCGGACTGTTAGTTCCTCCTTGAAGATTTGCTCTATTAACATTTCAGTGACTCACGGAAATAGAACTCAATTACGCCGTGCCGTAGCCGCAGCAGCAGGAGCAGGAGCAAGAGGAAAGGTTGGGAGGTGGGGATGGGGCGGCGGACATGATTATACTAAAACGAAGTTTTTCCACCTAAAACGAAGTTTTTCCACCTCTGACAGCTCTTTTTCCTTCTTTCATGTGGACCGATGGAGCACGGATCAGAAGAGATATTACATTTCATCTTAGCCAAAAGACCGAGAAATTGGGACCGTGGAGGGGACTGCGCTGGAGTCCACACCTCGTCGAGTCGTCGAGATCTGCTGTAGCAAGGAGGTGAAGACATCGCCTATCGTTACGGGCACTCAATCGTCACGATTCCTTGAATTTATTTATTATTTTTCACTGAGAACTACAGATGAAAAGGAAAAGCGTTGATAGGCCCCTCCTCCCCCCCCTCCTTCCCCTCCTGTTCGTTCTTCCGCTCCTTCTCCCCGACGAGGGTTTCTCAGGGAGAGTGTCCGCTTTCCCGTCTGTTCAACGTCCTCAGTGATTTTCCTGAGATATTATTACTAACGGCGTCCGTATGGTCGTCAAGTAAGTGTTAATGAGCGGGTTGCGCGCGGGTGTAGCACGCTCCCTACCTTTCGCCTGTCTCTTTCTTCGGTCCTTTTTTGCGTTTAAAGCATGGTTGAAGTCCCCACTCGCGGACTGGGGGAAGAGAAATGGGCAGTTCCGTCGTGGTATATCACTTTTCTCCACTTTCGTAGGCAAGGTGCCCTCCTGAGCCTCCTCTGTAAACTTCTCGCATAATTTTGGTTGGTGTTCATTTCAGTCGATTTCCCCCCTAAGAGTCAAACGGCGAGGGGTTCCAGTCATTCCATTTTTTTATTTTATTTTTTTTATTTGGACCATTTCTCGATTTATGCGTGTCATCCTTGCGCAGGGGCCGAAGGACTCGCTCCATTCTGAGACGAAGACGAAGGGGCATGCTGGGCCGGCTACAGCCCGTTGCGCCGGCGGCGAGGATTTCCCACCGGCGTTGCTAGTTCGCCTTCAAGGAGCGAAGTCGTCTTCTTCGCTCTTGTATCGCTTGCGCTCAACCTGGTCGCTGCCGCTGCCTCTATTTTGTCCTTCGCTTCGGTTCTGTTGCGGTTAAAAGTCGATTCTCTCTCGGGAATAGGGCAGCTCGTTCCTCGAGGATCATGTTTCTCCATCTTCGTCTGACAGGTCCGTTCCTCTGTAGCATTTTCTTATTTTTGTAATACAAGTTTCCTACTACTCCCCAAGCACTCCTATTGAGGCTGATACCTGAGCTCATATTTTCTGCTTAGCCCGTCAAGTAACGAAATCGACATTGACTCGGAAGGCATAGGGTTTTGAACGTGACCGTGACATGGCATGCCTTGGGTCGACCGATGACCAAGGATAATATGGATATGGGTTACGGGTCAGCGGTCGAACTGCTCTGCCATTCAGTACTCAGACTGCATTTTTTATTTTCATTTATTTTATTTATTTATTTATTTATTTATTTTTACTCAGACTGCATTTAGAATTACATTTTTTTGCCTTTTGGGAGAAGAGAGCAACGATGTGGTCGAGGTGTTCTCGCATTTAGGACTCAGACTCCATCTAGAATTTTGCGCTAAGCGGGGAGCGTACTCGTACCTGGACCTCCTGTCGGAATAGAGCCTTGAGATATCATCGCAGAGCTGACCGGCCCCACGAAACTCAGGTTTTTATTTATGGAGTTCCATCTGGATTCGAACTGAGGTCTGGCTTTCAACGCTTCATGGGTTTACCAACTGGGCAAGGGCCGTTGATCGACGGAATATAGCTGGGATTACAGTCAGATACAGAAACCCGTTGGAACTCTCCCTTGCCTAGTGTGAATGAACATGCTCTACTAACTCGTTCTTCGCTATTTGTAACTGATGTGGTGCCACCCGGTCCGATCCCCGATACCACGCAGTCGATCAATCCAACACCTGTTTTTTTTTTTTTTTTTTTTTTTTTTTGGAGTTGCACTAGGTGATAATTCCACGTCCGGAAGGGTGCGCAAACCAATGGGTGAGAGAGGTTAGCGCTTGCCCGAAGTCCCACTATTCACTAGGAGAGGGAGACTTCCGGTTACAAGCTTCTCCCACTATTGTTAGCGTCCGTTTATTCGCCGTCCCCGCTTTCAGCAGGTCGAAGATAGCCGATTATTCTTTTTCGGGGTAATTGAAGAAATAGCGCGTTTTCCAAGGTTTTTTTTTTTTTTTTAAGCGTTTTCCAAGTTTCCCAGCGGAGTGTTGTCGGTGTCCGAAATATTTATTTTTGTAACGAAAGTCGGACCCCGCCCCAAAAAATATTTTTGCTGTGAAACTACCGGGACCTGTAAAGCTGCAACGAAATGAAAGATGTATTTTTTTTTCTTGCAACGAAACTTGGACCCCGCCACTATCGTTTGTGTTGTGAAACTACCGCGAACGCGCTATTTTGAAACTTACCCTTCTTTTTTCCATGTACGATTATTCTTGGTTGAAATTGTTATATTTTTTTCTCTTCTTCATTCTTGTATTCATTTATTTAATGTAGGTCCTTATTACTAATTATAGATTTTCGATAGTATATAAATATCGTTATAATATATACTTGTTTAGTAGAAAAAAACCTTTTCAATGATAAAATTTTCTATTTTTATATCATAAAATAGAAATCGTTCGTAAATGCAAACCCCGTTGCAGGCGTCTCACCCCGTCTGATTTCCCCGTTTCCCCTTCTCAATCCGCTCTCAGATTGTAATTGGGCACTACGCCTTAACAGATTGGAGCGCGTCTGCAATCGATACGCAGTTGGGTGAGTCAAAACCCTAAAAGCAAAATTCTTGATAAATGACTCTCTGCCTCTAGCAGATCGGTAGCACAGTAGAGGTGTGCGAGCTTCGTAATTTCAAACAGCAAATTTCCTGCTTCTCTTTTCTTCTGACACGGGAAAACACTAAGTTAAAAAAAAAAAAAAAAAAAAAACACTAAGTAAAGTTCCGACCCACCTGAACGAAAAAAACGAAGACCCGACAAAACCGACCGACCTGCGTTGGTAGTGGGCAATCCGATCGTCACGAAGACAATATACGCTGTATATGACCCTATGTATATCTGTACTTCTACTACTCGCGTGGTGGTACTACGATCTCATCATTATCATAGTAATCAAGAAAAGTCTGTGAGAGACKAGATATCTCTGTCCATCATTTCCCCTCCCCCCTCCACCCMGCTCCCCCATCTCACCTTAGCTGAAGAAGAAGGTATGGAAGTCTTACGACGGTGCGTACTGTCTATCACCGTACGATCATCCAGAAGGTCAGCGGAAGATCCCGTTTGCCTGGATCGTTATCCGTCGTCCWTGGACGACGACCGGCAGGATGTGCGGACCTGCACACTCCGGGGCCTGGGCGACCCGAAGGGGCCTCCCGTCCATTTCCTCGCTGTTGCCGAGTACGCAAGGGATCTGCTTCCTCCGTCCCAGGATATCAGGGACCGCATTAGTTGGATGGTCAGGTTCGAGCAGCTGCAGGAGGGGTCAGGCTGGGTGATCCTCACAGTTTTCGGTATCATGTTGGGCTCCTTCGGCGACTCCATGAAGAGAAACGAGTTGTGGTGTGCCGTGGCTGTCTTCATGTTGGAGGCGCTGCTGAAGTTTTTCCGGTCGTTCGTGTACAAWCACTACACAAAAGGCGTTCCTTGCGCGTTTGTCGTCATGCAGCTGATCGAGAAAYACGACCACGAATGGTACCTGATGGYTGTCTGGTCTTTGCGGTTTGTGGGACTCCTRGGCCAGCTAGGCCTATCCATCGCGCTAGCGATCAACAACCGCCACAAGCATCGCACGAGACTGTACGAGCTGTTCGAGCTCGGTTACAGTGTCCTGCTCTGGCAGGCTCTCCTCTCCATCGTCATCGTCTCGCTTACCCCATCGGGCATTGCCAATCTCAGCCTCCTCCTCCAAGGCAGGCAATTCCTAAGGTCCCTGCGATCACCCTCATTGTGGCTCGCAA